AGAAAAGGTCAGCATACTAAAAAAAGGCGACAGCAACGACTTTACGACTTTCAGAAAAACTTGGTCACGTTGATCATGTTTGAAATGCTCCTCTGCAAACTATAATGTGCCACAGGCAGTGGTGGACGCGAGACAGATACAAGAGCAGCTATTCTGACCTTTAGTAACACAATGAAAAAAACTAATGAAGTGGCGACAGCTCTGACTAAGACTAACTTAAGTTGGCAAAAATACACGAACTAAGAATTCACATTTCAGGTAAACGAGTCTTAAGTAAAAATTAACAGGTTAAAACAGCTTACGAACTTACGCTTGTGCTTGAATAAGTGAAATCGATGTCGACAACTTGGTTAAAACGACTCTTTTTGCCTTTCTTCCCCATTACTTAGGCACATGCAAATCCGGAGTTATATTGGCGGATCACTGATAATTAACACGAACTGACTTCCTCGAGTTGTGGAAGGCCATCGCTTATTCAGATGCCTGGCCATTTTATCTTCTTGTCTGCAAAAAACCTGTATAGCTTCCAACCTTATCGTCGTATTATTTGGTACTCAGTAGAAGTCCACCAGATACGTTTTATATAATCTCGTCAACCCAAGCATTGCCCAACTGGCCAGTCAGGAGAAAACAAGTGCCTTTTCGGGCTATAAGAGCTTCGATTTTATCTTGGATTTCAATAGTGTTTAATTTAAACCAAAATTTTCAGCCCCTAAATGTGAGATGCCGGAGCCTTTGGGGTATGAGGACACTAGTGTCATAAGTGTCATGCTACTGGAAGTCTGTGTGCTTACATAATCTGAAGTGGGTCCTTCGGTATTCTCCATTGTCTCCGGACTCAAGGACTCCATTCAGGATGATCACCAAATGCCCAAAAAACAGAAATTTTAAAGACTAAGGCAACCTGTGAGATTGAAGCATGTCATGAAAGCACAGCCTTTGTTCTACACCACGTATTAGGTTATTACTCCTTATTGCGTAGCTTATTTCATTTCATTCCTTGTATTCCATAAAACGCACGCCAGTGTGTCATACCAGAGAAATTTTTGTACATGTTATCCCCAATGACCCTGGTCAAAAGATATAAATGACTTTTCTGTATCGATTTTTCCAACCTTTTCACCCCGTAGCGATGTTTACGAAGAGCACTATGTCCAAGAAAATTATATTTTGCTCAAGGCCTCTGGATTACTAAGTGCTTTTCATATGCTATGACCACCTTCTTTTTCTATAACGTAGCTGATTGGACGTAGATGAAGGATGAGTGATTTTCGTGCATCGAAATCAGGAGACATCGCTCCCACTTAGCCTGATATCTCCTTTGATCCTTTGGAAGAACCCTTATATCTTCCAAACCTCTTATGATTTGATGGGGACTGGTGTCATTGTTTATCGTGGATTTGCGGTAGTTATCGCGATAGAACTTTTATTAACATACAAAAGGAACAGTTATGGCTCAAGAACTCAACTACACTGAAAATCAATGCTCACTCTCCCCAGGGCTGATTGACCTCTTCGTCAGAAACTTGGTGTTCCCAGATCATTATGAATGCTTTTATTCAGTCCGGAATTTTCCCTCCTGTGTTAATTGCCGTCAGCATCTATGAAAGACCTAATTGTAATACTATGCAATGCTAAAATCGAGATAACGTGCAATTACATCAAAACTATATTTTACAGACATAGGCCGGGTTTCGAATGAGGTAGACAACGTGACACCTATGGGCTTTCCCGCCGAAAACATCCTTGAAAGTTCTATTGTACGATGTGATCCCCACAAAAATTTGTATTTTAGGAGGGAATGCCACTGACTTTTAAAATAGCAGGACAAATATATTAATCATATATCTCTTTTATTTAATGGGATTTGGTTCCTTCCAGAAGCTTGCCAACTTTAAGTAGACTGAGCACTATTTTTCCTCCCAAACAGGGTTTGATAGGTGTCACGCTTCTTCGATCCTTTGATATTCCATCCATTTCGGGACGTACCATGGCCTTACTGAGGTTATGCACATACGTAGAACTCCTTGCAGAGGGCCTGCACCTGATGTTCAATAAACGTTTAGGACTGCGTACTTAAAAAGTACTTCCGCTGCTGTAAGTATAACGCCATGCACCTACATTGTTCCTATAATGGATTAAGGTGTGTTCTTAAACCTGCCCAGCCAAAACCATTAATAGCTTACTGCAACACACAATGTGTAACAGAGCAAAAATCTCAAGAAAACGTGGTCTCATAACCGGAATTTTCTAGTCAAAGTATTCTGATGAGATTGAACGCGAAATTTCGTGTGTCATATTAACAATAAGTAACGTTTGTAATTCTGACACCTTAAGCAAAATAAAAGCTTTGAAATGAACACTACATTTTTGAAATTTTACACAAGGTCAAAATATGCCTTACGTTTGACGTTTACCATTGGCCAAGATTCAGCACAATTCAGTAGAGTAAGTTACTTAACAGCACACAGAATAATTTTGTATTGCTGGGAATGTGAAGTCCTTATAGTACAGGACAAAGTGGTGGACTAAGTTAGACGACCCGAAATCAACTCTTTTATTAATCTTTTTTTCAACGAAAATTAGTAATTTCATATATTCCGCAATCGTGTTAAGCCGCCGGTTTAGCGGATACTCACATGTACCGAAAGTCATCTTTTTGAAATAGACACAAAAGCAAGATTCAATAAAATAAAAAATATCATGGATTTGCGCTATCCTATTCAATAAGTAAGTTTATTTTACACGTACTGTTGGTCTATCCATCTTTTAGTGATAATTAGATTGGAGTTTTTAAGAATTACTGGTTACAAAGTGTAGTTTGGGAATGAACACAAACGACGACAGAAAGAAATACATTTTGCGGTTCTATTCTCCGTACACCGGACGATGAAACCAAAGGTAAGCCACACATGGAAGTGAGCAGCACTAAAGGCCTTCTTTCCGTGTGAAGCAACACATATCCGACTCATGGATGATTCTTTTATTATGCACTTCTGGTCGTGGTATCAAGCACTTGATTGCACAACCAGATAGTGCATAGTTAGTGAATATTTTGTTAAGCAGTTGCAGTACCTTATGAAGCAAGCATAGCAGAGGACCAGTTAACGGTATACCAGGCCACCTGTTATCCACCCAGAGTACACCGAACGAACAAATTAGGTCGGGATGTTGGGAAATATATACAGGAATGTGAACTAAAAGCAATCCACTGTTTCACTGCCAAAATAGGTTGGAAAGGGTCCAGAAGCCTTGGTGTGTAAGGAATAATACGCTAACCTTGTGGTGAAAGACCGGCTTGCTTGATGAATGCACGCCTTATATATAACCTTAGCAAGTCGGAATATCCCCTGCAAATGCATCGTCATAAGCAGCACGCACAGGATCCATTTTGATATAATGAAGGACATAGTAGCCATTTCTATGGAATTACTTCAATTATATTATCTGTCGCTTTGCATGGGCAAAATGAGCGTGTCAGTTCTAAATTCATTCAAGGTTGACCAAATAGCAAATGCAAATAGGAATTTTAACTAGACAAAATAACATAAATGAAAAGATGAGCAGACAATTAACGCCCTGAGACGCATATCTAACATTTTAAGATGAAATTTGTGTCGAAAAGCCGGAGAAATTGACTCAGGAATTGGTCAAATTCCTTAGGAAATCCAGTCAGGATCGGAAGAGATAATTTAACAGGTAAATCAAATGTCTGTGTACTTTCTGCGGAGAGGACTAACAGCTTTTACAGATAATGTAGGCTGGATATCCAGCCTTATTTATTGAACGTGCAAAGTCAAAGGGGTTAACCGGAAAAGTGTATTCAGAAACGCCGACAATGGCCAGGCTGCAATGCAATCCCTTCACGGTGTCAAATGTTCCGCGAAATCGCGTCTAACTCAAATGGAAAAGGTTATGATTTGTTTGACAGGGAGGCGTAAGGCAAAGAGCCCTCTCAGTTAGCCGTTTCGGGGGCCTTTATCTTTTGAGAATATGTTGATTTTTGGCTGTCCCAGTTATAAAACACGAGGGACACCAACGTTCACCTTAGCCGGATTTGATTTCTAATGACCGATGCAAATCGCCTGACGCTGACTCACAAAATGTTGTTTACCCATTTTAAGAAGTTACCTTTGACAGATGGATAATTCTTATTTGAGTATGCCGAAGGGCACTGTTATCATTTTTTTGAAGTTGCACGACAGCCTCTGGTGCATCACACAGTATCCAGGGTCGTCTGAAAATCAATAGAGTTATGGCTCATGCGCCTATCTTCGAGGGATTTAACCCAGCTCCAGGCAGATTGCAACAAGTTGTTGGTGCAAGATTTTCACTTCTATAACTAATTCTGGCAGTTCTTTAGCAGTTTTTGAGTCTCTATGAATTGTATCAGTTTGCTCTTCGTGAGGTTCTTCATGAGTTTGCCGAGAACGCACGTCAGATTTGTAAGCCTGCAATATGTCATCTATTTCCGGATACCGTTTTTGCATAGGGTGCCATATGGAACATCTTGCAGTCAACAGAACGTTATATCGTCGAAGAAAATTAGAAGCACATCGGCGGACTAGCAAATTCTCTGAGAAGCCTGAAGAAAATTTTTTCTGAGCTTGGAGACTGCACTTTTTTGAATGCCTCTAATCCACTTCTGAAAATAATTTTGTAAAAAACTGTAAGTTGTGCGCGAGTTTGGTTGGCCCTCTGCGGATGGAAGAAGAAACCTTGGCTCGCTTCTGTGAAACGGTTGAAAACTGTAAGCCTAATCATTTTTATCCCATTTTGAGCAATTTTAATGCCATTGACATTCCTTAGTACGGACCTTTGATACCGGTTCCTCGTACGGCTTCAGAGGTAGTTGCAGAGTAATATAATTACAACGCTTTCTGTGGCAAATTTTGCTTGCATTATAGACGCAGTTTTCAGTCCTGCTTCTGAGTTTGTTTCTCTGAATCTTTTAACGTTTGAAACATACGAGTTGGCTAGTGACACGTTAAGTTCCCCAAAATTTGTGCGTTTTCTCATTTTGTTTCGTTAGCTTGCCAGTTAGGCAACCCAAATTATTATTACACTTTACACTAGTTAGTGGGTTTTTGGGAATACCGCTATTCCCATGATGATTCAACGCACACAAGGGCGTCGTGAACTGCCTCGCTGCGCCCAGCCTTGTCTCCTCAATCCTGATTGGCCAACTGTCTCAGATATTGTCTGTCTCGCGCCCCCTTAAATAAATTCCGCCTTTGAATAAGAACGGCTTCCGCTAACGTGCTTTCTCTGAATACAGACTGTCTCGTGCTCGCTCATCTTCTCTTGCTTCGCTCGTATGGGTCTTGGGTGCCGGTCGGCTAACTCACCGTTCGTGTTAAATAAATGAATCAGGCGCGGGCT